AAATAAAAATGTAGTGTTAAAAAAAAGGATCGTATATATACAATTTTTTTTTTTGGAAACTTATTGTTATATACAATATTACAGTTAAATGATTGATGTATATGTGAGAGATAAAAACATTTATATGATTCATTATACAGAAATATTACGTGCCCTTGCATTTTGGATTTGTATCACCATGCAGACACCAAAATAGGGCAGTTTCTTTTACAGAACAAATGATTTGTATTTGTAAGTTCGATTCAGTTATATTGATTCAGTTATATTTTAAGTTTAAAAGTATTTTTATTATCCCTCTTTTTTTTTCTTGTAAAGTTATGCTTCGAAAATTTTATTTTTGTTCTATTACTTCTGTAGACATAGAAGGCGTGGCGTCACGTGGATATTAATACCTAATGGTCCTTACTCTCGTTTAGTCGTTACAATTAATTAAGGCCATGCCTTGTGAAATTCTTCTATACCTTGCTTCCCGATTTATGTTTTTTGTTTTGTTGTTTCTCTCCCTTCTATATATTTACTTATATAGTGAAACTCATATTGCAGTGAAGATGGGAAATAATATAATAATTGGATTGTATTCTATTCATTACCAATTATTACTGGATAACGTCATAAATGTTTTCTTTTTTACGCCAATGAGGAGTTCAAATGGTTATCAGAAAAAAGGAGCTCAAATGTGTTTATGTATGAAATCGTTATTACGTATTATGATATAAGAAAATATCTCACTTTGGATTTTGGAATATGGTAGAGATATTGATTTTTTGGTACATTAGAGCAGTTTCAATGGGAGTATCTACCCAAATCTCATCAATAAAAGTATTCGAACATACAGAGTAATTTAAAAAAGGGGTTTTTTTGTTGAATAACCAAAAAAAAAAATTAAAAAAGTTAGGAAAATGGAGTATATGGCAAAATGTAAACCATTGGATTTAGGATTTTTTGTTAGTTTTTAAATTATAATTTTTTTGTTGTATTTTTAGCCAATTATCACTTAAAAAAGTATCTCATCAGTTAAAAACAAAATGGTAATAAAAAAGGTAAGAGATGTGGAGGTTATAAACACTAATTAGGCTGTTTGCCCTAGCCGCTGGGAGAGGGAGAAAAAAAAGCGATTTCGTTGTTGGCTCAGCCGATGGTCGGAGACTCCTTTAGCTCTGCCATTGGTCGGGTCTAGTCCCTTAGATCTCTTGTAGTTTTTATTCAGTTTCGGTGATAAGTTCTCTTGGGTCTTGGAAGGGAGATCTCAAGATCTCTGGCTTGGTGAAGGTGGGGTTTCAGGTGCTGCTTCTTTTCTTTCGTCGGATTCGATGGTCTGTGGGTCAATCGGTGGAGCAGCTAATTGTCTGGTGGTTTAGAGGTCCGATCCTTGTTGGCGAGGCTTTGCTTCTCTGGCTTGTCTAAGGGTTTTGGCTCTCTTGCTCTAGGCATTGGTGTTCTCAGGTATTTGTATCTCTGTCCTTAGTTTGCAGTTAGAAGGGTTGGCTTGGCTGGGCTTTGGTTATTTGGTATCGAATTGGTTTGTCTTTCGTCTTGTTACTCGCTGGCTTTGTTTGATTGAGACTGTGGAGGAGGCTTTTCCTTGCCGACAATGGTCTTTGAGGTTTCTCTTCATCGACTCAGAACTTCTTTTGTTAGCTTGAATGATCAACTAGGGTTTGTCTCTATTGTCCCAGATTTTTGGTCTACGTTTTATCTCCTCTCCGGCTGGTTGATGAGTCTATGCCTTCTTGTGTCTCCTCACCCTGCTTGAGGTGGTTTTTTGGGGCTAAATGTTTCTAAGTGTGACTCCTTTTTGTTGAAGAAGATGTTCTCGTTGTTGTTTATCCTCGCCTTACTACTTAGTTTCCTATATATCCATTGTGAATAATTTTTCTATTGGTTTTATATATGCATACCAACTTCTTGCCTTCGTGTTTTGGGTTGTGTATCAATATGAAGAAACTTGGGATATGATGGGGTTCTACTCTTGCTCGTGGATGTTCTTTTCTTCCTGATTATTACTTGGCTCTTGTCACTCTTAATTTGGTTTAGTCTGGTCTCGGGATATGGTGTCTTCATCTCGAGTGTGTGTGTAGCCCCCTCTTACCTTTATCGATGTCATGAATCGAAGCACGTGCTCTATGTTTAGAGTATTCATCGGAAGGTAGACACTTAGCTTTGTTGGAGTTGGAGTTAGCTTGTTTGGATATTTAATTTTGGATATTGATTGTTTTTCTAGTTATAGTTTGGTCGTTTGGTTTTTTAGGATTCGTCTCTTGATCTCTTGAGGTTCCCAGTATGGATCCTTCATCGTATTTCCAACTTCATATTCCATCCATGTATTCCAAAAACGTATTCCAACTTCGTATTCTATGATGATTAATATAATATTTCGAATGGAAAAAAAAAAGTTAGAGAGATGGATAAACTCTCAAATTTTCTTAAAAAATTCATTTGACACGTGATATTATGATTGGTCAAATCTTGCTTTGCAATTTAAAATTTTAAAAAATAATTAAAATATGTTATTATACTAAGATAATATATATGAGAGACTCATAGAGTTTCTTAGCAATATAGGTGCTCTTAGTTCTACCGACTAAATTGTTAGAAGTATGGAACTTGAAATTTTTTTTTTTTTTTGTAATTCTTCAACCTCGATTAAAAGATCTAATAACTTCTCTAAC